TGATTATTCGTATTTTCTTGCAAGATCGGTTGATGAAAATCAGTTTGTACGAAGACATAAACATTTTAAAACTTTTGTACACGTCATTAAATATAGCTACTGTTGGTTTGCTTTACTATACTAGTGTAAAATTCAAATAACTCATTTTAGCATAATTAGCATAATTTAAAATCTCTTATTAAACATGATGATGAACACGAGGAAACTTTTCAACAGCTCTACAATATTTTGTGCATTGTTTGTAATACAACTATCATTTCTTATTTGTTACTAAATTTGCATAAATTTATTATTCAAATCAGTTTAATTAAAAGATTTTGATCTATACAAATGTAATTTTTATCTGTGAGTATACAATTATCTTTTTTTAGTGCACTCAGTCCTTTTTCCTTTTAGTTATTGTTTACAATAAAATTTATTCTATCAGTACATTTATTTTTCGTATTATTCAATTAAAGGTGGTATGAGGATTCATTTTACGCCTTCATCCGTTTGTAGTTCACAGTCGAATTTAGGAATAAAATGTATCCCCGAACCGTTTTTAATTGATTAATTAATTAACCGTCGTGTTATAAATTAAAATAAAGTACAAATAATACCGTTTTATGAAACGTGAAATTATCATGTTTTTAAAGTAAATCAGAACACATGTTTATGAAAAAATAATGAATAAAATAGTCATCTTTTTTCGAAATTGCATTAAATAAAGTAAACTGTTATTAAAAGAAAGGCGAAAGTAGAGCATGATTGTGCAAAGAGAAGATAATATTGCACATTCTACAAAGATCAAAGCGGAAATGACATATTCCCTCTAAGCGGGTCCATTATTTAACGTTGAATCCAGTCTTCTGTTAGTAGATCTATTTCACGTTCACTACATATAGGGCATAAAAAATTTTTTGTTTATTGGTTGGAGATAGATGCATTAGTAAAGGTTGTTTTACTTCTTAACTTACTTTCGCACTTTTTTTAATAGCATAAATTACATTTTTACGTATAAACTTTATAAAAATTAAGATTGATATCTGCATAGAAATTTTGAATTTATAGCTTTTGCTGAATTTTAGATTCAAATTTTTGCATTAAAGTTTTGTTATAACGTTCTTAAATAGAATTGAAATATGAGTAACTAACATTAATGAAGTTTTATTTAACAAGATATTTGGTAATATATTTATAACAATACAATTATGAAAAATTTTGCACATCGTTCCATTTCAGCATGTTGTGTGTTTTCTTTTGTGTGTAAAAGGATATATGTATAAGGATAATAATTTTTATGTGTGTGTGTGTGTGTGTGTGCACGTGTGTGTGATAAACATGTATATGGAAACATTTAATAATATATATAGAGGAAATCCTCGTTAGTTAGAGATTCAAGAGACGACATAATTGCGTGTTCGAATTATCGAGTTTTGAATTATCCGAGATTTGCATATATCTTCTATACAGTAAACCAAATGCCATGTAACTGATGTAATTTATTAAGCAAACGGAATACGACTACGTATAGAGTGCTATTTTCCTTAATTAATAATATAAATAAATTGCATTGCGTGCCAAATGAAAACTTTATGGGTCGCCAGATATGTTTCATAAATTGTAAAGCAGAATTTCTCGATATGCAGCCCAAATTATTTTAAAAGTGGCCCAAAAGTGTAGTAAGTAGTCCAAATGCAGTAGCCTAGAGTTTTACAAATATCCCAATCTTGCAATCTCGTATTTTACAATATAAGAGAGAAAAGCGTAAAGATGTCCATGGATAAGGTGTCACTTGAAAATGTGTTACTGTAAAAGCAAAACCATGTTGACCACAAGATTAAAAGATAACAATGCTTTTTGGTCTATTGTTATCCTGTAGTATGGAGACACTTTGATCTAAACGAACGAGTTAACGTACGCATATGACAGTTCGTACAGAATTTTCACGAGAATTTCCTTTATATACAAAATTAAAATATTTTTACTCTCTAAAATTATGTATTCAATACAGTATTAAAATTTTGTCGTAATTTATTGAAAATAATTATTAAATTATTTTTTCATATAGTATCTTGTACACACTTGGTTCCTAAGTGTGTTGATGCAGTATACAATCATTACCGTGCCAATTATTTACATGTACGACAGGTAAGATTTCTATAGATTTCATAGCATTTAGAGTAAATAAAGTTATAATTAATAAATAAAGAATTCATATTCAGTATATTTTATATAATAATTAAGACATCTTAAACTGTTTATTAACGGTATTAATTTCATGGGTTCTAAAGATAATGTGGCGTCCATGGTTTAAATCTTGTCATTGGTAGCGCTAGTGCCAGCTTGAAGGATACTTAACTTCAGTATTGAGTAAAATAGAGGAAACTGAGCGAGAAGTTTTAATCTGCGTTTAAAAACTTGAATTTAAAGAATATAACGGTTGCTGAATTAAGAAAGAAACTAGTGAATTAAGAGCCAAGACAACTGAAACAAAGGCAGAACTATTAAAATGGTACACAAACTTAAAATAATAAGAATAAAACTGACGCTTTTACAGTTTTTGGCTTTTGTTTTCGATCTTGATCTTGTCTCCTATACCTGAATGCGGGCTATGCGTAGTATAATTAATAAATAATCTTAAATACCGAACCATATCTATATCGTAAAAATCAAAACTTTCTTGCTCATCAGGAAAAACAATACATTGCTGACCCGTGCATTGCTTGGTGTATTTCGCCTTTTTTTCACTTAGCCAAAATTCTTACAGAAAGGATTAAGAATGGTTTGGCTGTTATCTTATATACTTTTCACTTACCTGCAATTCGATAAAGCATTATATTTTTTTTTTTCAATTTAAACTTTATACATCTAAGGTCAAAAAACCTGTAAAGTGTGAAAAATACAGAGAAATACAGGATGCTGAAGTAAATGAATTAAAATTTTAAACTATCAAATGTAATTATATTGAAAAATTTCAGTTCTATAATTGTATCTACAATATTAATAATATTATATATGTATAATAATAATATAATAGTAAATCTAATATAAAATTCTAATTGAACATATTCACTACTGATAGCGTTTTTTGTTTTTTATACCCATTTAACCATTAACGACACTTTGTATCCTATTAATATTACATTAATTAATATTAATATAGTGCGATTTTTATAATAAATTATAAGAAATGCAAATAAAATGCCTTCTAAAATATGATGAAAATTAAGATTGAGGTATTAATAAGCTACAAAGAGTAGTAAATGATTAATATGAAATTATTGTATACAATATACTTTTTTTGTTCTGCCTGTATAATACAATACCAGCATGGATGGTGGTAAGATACAATAGAGGGTTATATACATGGTGTTTGATAAAAATTTCCTTAAGCATTGTGCCAAGATGGTGCGTGTAGAAATTCGCAAGTAGATTAAACAAGTATACACGCGACAATAAAATTCATATATAAAAATATCTGATAAAATATACATTGTTTGTTTGTTTTGCTGTGCAACAGATACAAATATTCGATACACATTACAGAATGAGCGTGAGACAAACATGAACATACAACATGAACATGCCGATCGCAGTTTACATTAAGCACGCAATATGAGTGAGCAAGTCACTGAGAAGGAGCCAGTGCTACTGGCTCAAGGAAGGAAATGTGCTTAGGGTGAAGTACTTCATGATTAAATCTTTAAAATAGTTGTAGCTTTGTTGAGTAGGTATTTATATGCATCATGCCAAGTATCTCCATTTTCTTCCACTGACGTTTTCAGTTGATGTCTTTCTAGTGCTGTGAAAGATATAATGTTCGCTGCCATCCCAAATGTTATAAAAGGAGCAGAGGTTCGTTTGTTGTAAATTAAAACGGCTAAGGTAAGAGTGAAACCTACCATGTCCAATTAAAAACTGTGTGACATGGCGGTTAATGTTAATCCAGTTATTGTCGATGTAGTCTTTTATTACAGGGATAAATTTGTAAGTCAGATGATTATGATTGTCATTCCATTTGAGTTTCCACTCTAATAAAATCTTGTTTAAGCATGTTTTTAATGTGGGGACTTTGTCATAGGAAATAGGAAGGTCGTTGTCCTGTACTGCAGATTTCGCTAACTTGTCGGACCCCTCGTTTCCTTTGGTGCCAATGTGAGCTTTTGTTCAGTTAAACGAAACAGAATTAAGAGTGGTGATAATCTCTTAGATGATATCGTTTGCTATGGGGTGGTGGCCCGGGTTCTGAATTAGCTGTAATGCCGAGGCGCAATCAGTATAGATAGAGTACTGGTATTGTTCAGTGAGCTGCTACTCCATTGTAATGCCTTAAGTATGACCAGTAACTCTGCTTGAAAAACAGAGCAGTATGGATGAAGCCTGTATCTGCTGCTGTGGACTTCAGTGTGATTGTTTTAAACAACAAAACAGCATCCGACTCCCGAACCTAGCTTAGATTTGTCCGTGTAAATGTTTATTTCCTTGTGAAACCTAGAGTTAATTCTGACTAAAGAGTAGCGATAAGGGTTGATGGTAGACCTCAGGGCCCACTCTAGCGGTTACGTCACTCCGGACAAAAAGACAAATTGCCGCCCCTTAAGAATATATATATATTTACTTTTCATAGACACAATGTAGTGACACTTTTTAAACATTTGGCAGATTATTCATCTTTTATTACTTTGGTAAAACNTTTAAATTTTAATAAAAGCATATATTTAGAAGGAAACATATAACATAACTGATAATCAAGCACAGAAATTAATTAAGAAATATCTGTACCTAGCCACAAATTGTTAACCATATAATTTTTTACATTTTTGAATGCTATTAAAAATGTATTATTGCACAAACAATCAAAATGCCATTATTTTGAAAATAAAACAAGGTAACATCAACTCCGCTAAAATCACAGAAAAACTTTTTTTCTTACTTTCAGTTCTGCAAAATTTTTTATTGCATCTTTTAAATTTACTTGATCAGCAATTTTATGCTCAATTGCCAACATGACCAAATTATTAATTAAGACGATTTTGTGTAGTAGCCGAACGTAAAAAGTTCTTAATTAATTTTAACTTAGAGAAACTTTTTTCGCCACTTGCTACAGTTATTGGTATTGTTAGCAACATTCTTAAAGCAATAGTAAGATTTGGGGCAAAATTTAACTTTGTTATCAAGCTCAGTACATTGCTTAGGCTTTCTCTTTTGTCCAAAAGCGCAGATAATGCTGAAATTTCCTCCGCTAATTCTACCCCATTTATGTCAACAAAATCACCATCAGTTAAAATGCATTCTAAATACTTACAGTGTTTTAGTAGCATTTCTTTGGTCATGACATTTAAATCGTATATATTATATAAGAATTGAAAATAATTACTATGATTACTAAGTTGTTCAAATCTAGCATCTAGTGCATTTAGTGCTTGATCGATTGTAAAAAAAAAATCTATTTTATATTTTTCTTTTGGATCTTTGATGGGTTTATCTCGTGCTTCGTATAAGTTGCTTTTCCTTCTTCTAACGTGGTGTCGTGTTATTGTTGATTCAAAATTAGCCTCCACATCATTTTCGGTAGCAAGTTCTTTTGCATCAATAATAGTTTTATCGAAGGACGAATCCGATCGAAGATTCTTAAAAAATATTTTGCAGTTTTGTAAAAGATCAAGTGCAAAGGATAGATCAAAATCTTTTGTTTGCATCAACTTGCTTATTGGATTAATGGAATTTAGTATTTTATGCCAAATAACTAGTGAACACAAAGACTTAAACTGTTTAATACAATTTAATAAACCCGAGGCGTCGTCTCTTATCAACACATCAATATTTTTCTCACACTTACAGCCAAAATGCCACCCCTAAACTTTGGCGCCCCGGACAAATGTCCGGGTTGCCCGCCCCTAGAGCGGGCCCTGTAGATTTATATTCTATTGGTTTCTCTACGTTCTTAGCATGGAAAGTTTCATCATTGGTGTCGATGTTGCTGCCTCTGAGTAGGTTCCAGATTTTTGCATGATTTTCTATGAGCATATTAATAGTGGCTTTCTTAGCAATAATTTGCAGGATAGAGGTGGGCAGCGTGGTAACCTTTGGCGATATGCAGCAGCGTTTTCCTTTGGGAAAAGATCAACTTCCTTGATATGATTTTTTGTGTGATTTTTTAACTGCGTCTGCCCACGTGTTGCTGGCATAAATAATTATTGGTACGTAAACCATATCATATATGGTGGCCATGGCGTCTGAATCCAAGACCCACTTATTTTTTAGCGAAGCGTGCTAAATTTTGGAATATTTTCTCAGTATTGCTTGCATATATATTCGATGTGATTTGTCCACAGAAGCTTGTGGTCGATAATAACCCCAAGATATTTGAGAACCTTCAATATCTCAATTGTATTTCTTCCTATATTATGGTAGGGACTCTTTTATATAGGTGTTTCTTTCCTGGCATGGTGGATATTGTACCTTGTGACTTGTTAGCGTTGAAATAAAGCTTATCCTTAGACCTCCAAGTTTCGATGTTATTGATAAACTCGTTGCCCCTGAGCTCCAATTCCTCACGAGAGTTGGCCTTTATAAGGAAGAAGACGTCATCTGCATGTGCGATGGTGTAGTTCTGCGTGAGAAAGCGAACAAGTGTGATGATCCATAGGAGCAGGCCACACGCAGAGCCTTGAGGAAAAATTTTCAAACTCGAATCTATTCGAGAAATGAGTCGATTTGGATAAATAATGCACTAATCAATTAGGTTCAATCGAAACACCATCGAAACCTAAACAAATAGGTTTCGATGGTGTTTCGATTGCCGGGTTCTGACTAAAACTTTTCGAAAAAAATCGCAAAACACAGAAGAGCACAAAACAAGCACATTAACTGCACTCATTATACTCTCGTACTGTATACAATATAGCCTACTATCGGTAGTCGCTATGTTTTATTAGAATTTGGACAATTTTTAGATTTGACAAGGTACAAAGTAAACCTAGCCTAACTGTAAAAAGCACTAAATGTTCACCATAAAATGTTTATGAAATAAAAGACATTTTACTTATACGAAGTAACACTTCATAAAACGTAAAAATTATAAACTGTCATATAAACTTTTCCGTAAAAGTGACATTGTATTCACTTTCATCAAAATGTCTGCTACAGATGAGCCTATTGACTGATGTTCTTTCCAGTTTTTATCTTCAATTCCCATTTTATCCGATTTTAGGTCATTCGGAAAATTGTGGAACTCTAAATTTGAACATTTTTTATTATTGGAATTGCGCTGAGGAACAGAAAAATTATCAGGCATTTTATTAGTATATAAATAAGTAAAAAGTAGTGTTGCAACGAATAGTATATTCGGCCTCAGGCCGAATACCGAATATTCGGCCAAACTATTCGGCTTGATTAACGCACGTACGAAAATTGGCGCGCAAACTTCATTATGGCAAGGACCCTGCTCTCTATTCGCCCGCTGTCACTACGCTTCGCCAATCGCGTTAATTCTTGACAGTTGTAGCAGACAGACAAGTGCGTCATGGCAGTATGCGATAAATGATGATATCAAATGTGAATAAGAATGAAATGACCTACACGTGTAAATAACGGATGAAAAACAGAAAAGAACCGCGAATGTAAAAATAAATATGAAATTGAGTTGATAACATAATCGAACAAGTCGAAGCTTATTGGCGCGAAATTTGCGGCCGTCAATGCCAAACAATTGTTGTCATAGGCTTCGGAAAGATAAATGCTTGTAATGAAAGTCACTTAGCGTGCACGGGCGAAAGCCTTGGACCGTTCGGGCTACCAAGCTGTCTCGAATCTGTGAAATCATAACTGTGACATATACCGACGTCCTATCTGTCTATTTTCTCCGTTATCACCAGGTTATGAGTCACGTAATTATAAAACGAAAAAACTACGACGGAAAAGTGACGAATCGAAAGTATCGTGAGCGCGTATTATGATGTATGCATAGTGGTTTAGAGAGATGTAGCGTGGTTTAGAGAGATGGAGGAAAGAGAAAGGAAAGAGCAAAGATGAGCGCTTAAAAAGGATAGGCATGGTCATACCCTCACATGTGTGCGACGATTCTCGAACGAATAGGTGTGTATTTGTGCTGATCTTTGTAATTATAAATTGTGAATACATATGACTAATATTATTAATTTTTTTTATTTTGTGCATGTTATAAGTTATAAATAAATATAAACAAACAACACTAACCCGACAACATTAAATCTAAATACCAAAATGATTAATTTACTGTGTTTTTGTTATTTCTTACTCCTGTTTTTAGGTATTCGGTAAAAATAGGCCGAATACCGAATAGTAACCGAATATTTGTTACATCACTAGTAAAAAGTAATCTTTAAACAATGTAAACATAGTATGACTGACAAAACAGAAAGCTATTTATCTTATAAACCTGATACTAGCGCCAGGTATGGTTTTTAAAATACATGCTCTTTTCCCATAACTAATTATGTGTTAACTTTTTAGATGGCCAATAATGGGTATCTTTACTACATCTGCATTGATTATTGGAGGAATCGTATCAAACACTTATGACGTATTTATGAATAGATATTTTGAATACAGTCTAATACGCATTGATGGAACGTATGTATTCATTTCTTTGATTCATTTGTGTTACACAATACGAAGAAAAATTTACGTATTTATCATTTCTACTTGTTTATTTAGAACTCTTCAAAAACTATTCGAACAAAACTATTTTTTACCTTATTACTCTCATCTCAGTTCTTATTCTTTTGGTTTGCTGATGGGAATTCTTCTGAATAATACAAACTTGAAATTGAAACAAGTAAGTTAATTTGAATTTCTAATCTTTAAACAATAAATCTACTCTATATAACTACAATATAGCTTTAGTCCTATATGCACGTTTATTTACATTTTTTTATGTGCCTTGATTCATCAGAGTCTTAAAAAATTCGGAAAATATTTTGAAAATTTTCTCGTCTCGAATTCTAACGTACCGTTTACGTTTTTACTAACTGAACAAAAAGATTTTATAACATACGCATTATATATGACTGAAATACTAAGAAATAAAAGAGTTTTGATGTTGCTAACTTAACAAAGTTTAAATTTCCAGAAATTGGAAATGAATTCTCGGAATTAACTATTCAATAGTCTGCAGACTTAACACCTGGTGATCCCATAGGCAAGCATGATTTGAAAATTTACGATTCAGTAAATTTTGATCTTAAACACGTGACGTGTTCACAAAACTACTCGGAATAACACGAAGTTTTTACAATAAAACTGCACATTTTAGTTACATCTTATACCACTAGAAAGCGCTATTATGTAATGAGACGAGCTCTTATGTCGAAGAGAGTATATGCGTTGTTTGTAAAATCGCACTTTTATAAACTAACAGACTCCGTAACTAAAGACGAGCACGAATTTTCTTTTTTCACCATGATTTGTGGAATGTAAGTCGCAATACGCATCTTGAAAAAGCCATTATAAACAACGCATTACCTGCTTTTCAAAGAAAAATGCATAATATGCAACCTGTCGTAAGTATTTATGTTATGCGCGTCGTAACAAATTGCCTGCTCTCTGATTTGCATGTGAAGACACATCATCTATTATATTTCGTAATGTAGACTTACTGGATTTTAGAGTAATATGCTAAAAAAACAATAAATAGTTTCTTCAGCAAGTGTCCTGGGAGATCTAACACATTGTAATAGTTAATAAATTATTGCAATACCTAATAGCTTATTATTAGAGAGGTTGCGGCCGACGTTTTCAACGCGAAAACGTGTACGTCGGACGTTCAGCGCCGCTTTCCTAAAGGCCTAGAAGTTTGACAAAGGTGTTTGGAATGTCGAGCATGATTCCACTGACTATCCAAACATCATTGTCAAACTTCTAGACTTATAGGAAAGCGGCGCTGGACGTCCGACGTACACGTTTTCGCGTTGAAATCGTCGGCCGTAACTTCTCTATTAAGGAGTAAGTAAACTGCAGCATACTCTTCTCAGGTTTAGAGCTCTTAAACTCTAATAATGACCCTTACTACAAAACAACTTATGACAGTGTGACATCGTCTAATTCTGTAATCTAGCATAGTCACAAGAGCCAAAAGACGTCAAATCAATAAGTATGTAAAAGTGGAGAAATTCTGGAGTAGTCATGCCATAAAATCAGTCATCAGACGTATTTGGCTGAATTTATCAGCGTTTGAAAATTTCTGGCAGGCTTAACAATAAGTAAAATAGCAAGCGGTAAGAGAGTAAGTTTCAAATCATTTTGAAATTGTGAAGTGTGAATAACAGTTATTCTACTTGGATTGATTATCTGAACTGCGTCGTATATTCAGCAATAAGTTACCCTAAAAACTACTACTATTTGATTTTATTTCACGCAAAAAATGATTCAAAAGTGAAAAAGTTCCATACATACCTTGTTATCAGCTTACAATAAATAAATAAATAAAATGATAACACTCATTCATTCGCTTATATTATTTCAGAAAGGATGATGCATATAATATCCTCATGAAAGTTTTGTTCATATGACCCAATTTTTCTATGAGCTTTTGTTCAGTTAAACGAAACAGAATTAAGAGTGGTGATAATCTCTTAGTTGGTATAAGGATAATAATTTTTATGTGTGTGTGTGTGTGTGTGTGCACGTGTGTGTGATAAACATGTATATGGAAACATTTAATAATATATATAGAGGAAATCCTCGTTAGTTAGAGATTCAAGAGAC